AAACCCTTTCCGACGCGACACAGAAGGACAGGTCTTTGGAAGAAACCCCACCCACTCCGCCCTTTCAGAACTCGGCGAACTCCTCCCCTCGTTTCACCCTCCGTCAGACACCGAGGCCAACGTAAGCAGATTGACTCAGGAGATCGACTAAAGCAAGACATTTTGGTTTGAAATCTTGGCTCCTCGCTGCATGTATGGGCGCAGGGGAGAGAGCGCTCGGACCTTCGTCTCTTCTGCGTCGCCGGCCGAAGGAGTGTAGAAGGATGACCAATTCATCACTTTCTTTGGTTTCGGATGGAATCAAAACTGGAGATGTTTGAAGTATGTCCGAAGACGCTCTGTTCCTTCTGTATGCGGTCACGTGCCCGGTGCTAAGGTTCTGGTTGGTAGTAAGTCCATCGCCACTTTTTCGTTCTTTCTATTGTATGATATGATTTTCTTCGTTTTACATACAAATCCATGCGCCATTCCTCGCACGAAACCTGCGGAAGACGCAAGGATGATGAAAAGATTATTGGCTTCAGCAGGCGGCCGCCATAAGCGCTTGATACATTTCACACAAGAAAGGCTTCCCTCTTTTATTTGTCGTTAATACAAAATAAAGCGGTCTACGTGTTTTGCTCTGGTGATCAACTGGTGAAACCATTTTAGATTTTTTAGTGTAGTGATTTTTTCAATGACTGAAAAGATACAGTTTTGTTCTTTACAAAATATCCCTTAGGCAAAGGTGTCTTCGCCCTTGAAACGATGAAAGATTAAGCATGAAGAACCATCTACCACTGTCTCAATTCTTTTGCTGTTAAATCTTTTCCTTTTATATCACATTAAATATGACACAGCTAGGGGGATATACTGTTGAATCAACTTCAAGAAGCTTTATCATATCATGCATTCTTACCTGGATCATGAAAGACTGTGTGTCAAGTTTGGCGTTATTCCCTGGCCTTTAGTTTATGGTCAGATAGATTTAGTTCCTGCCTTTTTTTCATATCAAACGCTTCCGAATTGTATGAAATATTGACCCAGCTGACAACAAGGACTGACTCTTGCTGGTCACTTTTTCCGTACCGCTGACCCGGGCGCCGAAAGCCAGGGGAGCGGAAAATATCAACATCAAGTCATCTATTTTGCCCTCGGAGGGCGTTGGCGTCGGCCGGTGTCAGCGTTGCTCTGTTTTGTTTCAATTGTTATGCACTGATACTCATATTACCTTCACTTTTATTCATATATCTGTATATCTATCAATCTATCTATCTATCTATCTATATATATATATATGTATATTTAAGAAACTGCCTAAATCCTTACATATGGAAAAAAAATATTTCCTCATAGTGATCCAAGACACTATTGGTTGTGTTCAACGATAATGATGAACTCTGTAGCACAGACATTTAAATGTGCGTAAGAATATTTTTAAAGCTAGTTGACATTTAACTGCATGTGACTGACTCATGCTCACACGTATATAGAGTATATAAATATAACTGCATGCATTCTTCTTCCTTTTGTGATGAACGAGTAAACAACTCTGAGGTTCCCTGCTACAACGATTCTTAGTCGATTTTCTGTCCCTTTTAATCTAAATGGCTATTACTAAACATCTCTTTGTACTAATAGCCGAATCATTACCTTGGGGATAAAACTAAATACTTCGGTCGTAACAGAACGCAGAACCAATTAGCATAATGGCAAAATTAAGAAAACATAACTGCACGATTTCTGGCTCAGTATCGCGTCTCTCCCCAGCAATAAGCAACATTTTACCCAGCTCCTTGCTATGAACCCGCTCTCGCAATCCTGGGTAATAACCCGCGTACTGGAATGGAGCTAATGGTATTCGATGTGAAATGATCAAATCAATTCACATTCGAAATTATTAAATCTGCATCCAGGTAGATCTTCACAGGACTCAGAAGCCACTGTGCATGTAAAATAATCAGCGGTTAATGAGAACTTAATTTCTGGTCACTAGAATCCATTACAGAATAGATGTTCTGGAGCCGTAAAACGACTTTCGTTAAAGGGATGTAGCTTATTTATAGATCCAAGTGAGGTTATTTACCTCGGTAGAACAGCTTTAATAAGGAAAGGCCTACGCTGACTATCTTTACTCTGTCTCTCTGTAAGCCTTGCAACCTGTCGCAAAATAGCAAGGATATCCCGGGATTTTAGCATTGCCAAGACGTATGCATTGGGTATTTGGCTCAGGCCGCTGGAATAGGACAACTCGGTGTTTTAGGAGAGATAATCACAACGAGAAAGAAATCACGACAAATCTTTTTTAATTACTAGTTAATATTTCATAAGGGATATTGGCCTTTTTGTCTGTCCGTAAAAAATAGCCAATAACGGGAGCAAAAAATGTCAAAAGAAGCTGAGTAAACAGTGTCATGGGATTTCAGCATTTACAGTTGAAAAAAAAGCAGTAGCAATAATGGTAATGGTAATAGTAATGATTGTCATCGATGTAATAACACTAGCAATAATATCAATGCTA